AAAGGGGGTCGGGAGCCACAGCCCCCTCCTGCAGCCGGGGGGGGGCACCGGCACATTCCCCCTCCCCGGCTTACTGCACCCGCCCCAAGAGCCCCCTCCCGCCCAGAGCACTTGCCACACAAGCCCCTTTCTCTCGCCCCCGCCCCCCGCTGGCCCCTCGCAGCCCGCTCCTGCCTGGCTGGCTCAGAGCGAGGCCATTGCTGGGCCTGACCCTGTCTCCACCCACGCTCTGAGCTCAGCCTTGGCCCCTCCAGCCCATGGGAAGCAGATGGCCCGGAGCCCATCAGGGCCCAGCCCGGCCCTGCCCTCCCAGCCCTTGTGGGGTGGACAGCCCAGGCCATGTGGGGCAGACGTCACAGCCCGGCCCTGCCCTCCCAGCCCTTGTGGGGCGGACGTCAGATGTCCCAAGCTGGCCATGCCCTCCCAGCCCATGTGGGACGGCCGGCCCGGCCTGGCCCTGCCCCCACGTTACCTGGTCACCAGGGCGGAGATGATGTCTGTGATGGTGCTCAGCCCTTGTGGGGTGGACAGCCCAGGCCATGTGGGGCAGACGTCACAGCCCGGCCCTGCCCTCCCAGCCCTTGTGGGGCGGACGTCAGATGTCCCAAGCTGGCCATGCCCTCCCAGCCCATGTGGGACGGCCGGCCCGGCCTGGCCCTGCCCCCACGTTACCTGGTCACCAGGGCGGAGATGATGTCTGTGATGGTGCTGTTGGTCAGCCAGCTTCTCACACCTGGGGCGACAGGGCCCGGCTGGGTCAGTGCCCTGGCAAGGCCCAGGGACCTCCTGGAGCCCCAACCCAGCTGTCTGTGTCAGAGGGTCACAGGACTCCCCGTCTGCACCCCCAGGCTGGCATGGCCTGGCCTTAGCCAAGCGCGTGGGGCACTCAGACGCCCCAGTGATCCAGTCCCATGTCCCCAGCAATGGGGGCAGGTGACGCCTGGACTAACACCCCTGCCAGGGTCTCCCCTGAGTCCGCCTCTTGGCTCCCCGATTCCCCGCTGGCGGCGTGTCAGAGGGTCACAGGACTCCCCGTCTGCACCCCCAGGCTGGCATGGCCTGGCCTTAGCCAAGCGCGTGGGGCACTCAGACGCCCCAGTGATCCAGTCCCATGTCCCCAGCAATGGGGGCAGGTGACGCCTGGACTAACACCCCTGCCAGGGTCTCCCCTGAGTCCGCCTCTTGGCTCCCCGATTCCCCGCTGGCGGCGGCACCGTTCAGTGGCTTTCCCTGCACCCACCCCCCGGCACCCCG